AAAGGAGATCTAACCATTTCAGTTTTCTGAAAAATCACAGTAATTACAATAAAACCACAGTAAGATTAGGGTATGGAGATTTCACACAAAAACACACACTTTGCACTTTTGGAATGCTAGCCAAATGCTTGTGTAACAATACAATATAAAATGAGAAGTCATGAACTACTTTGCCCTGTAGGAAAAAAAAAGCCCCACAGAATATGCAGAAAGAAGAACTCCAGGAAGAGTGTTTTAAGATATTTGAACTGCACCAACCGTCTCCATCAGGTGCTGTGCAGAACAATGTTACACAGCCAGGGAATTTGGCTTTTTTCAATGTCAAATGATAGGAATGATAATCACTACTAAGAGATAAATAAATAGTTTACCACTTTGCAGTAGTTATACACCAAACATTTTCTCTCCCCTAGTGGCATCTCTTTCCAAATGTCACTGGCTCTCTATTTTCAGGCAAACTTAATAAATTTGACCATAAAATTTGTATTTCTCCACAGAATCACACCAAGAGGTCAAGGCAGAAGATCTGACACAGGCACTGGGCAGCAGAGGCAAGCTGGACTGCCTGCAGAACAGAAAACAATCAAGAAGACTGAAAAACTGACTTGCCAATGGTATTTTTGTCTTTCGCTAATCATCTGAATTGATTAATTACAAAACATCTGTTGAATCCTGCACCCAAATTCATTACACTTGACAGAAAAATGTAACACTAACAGAAGAAAAATTGTTGTGTGGCCATTCATCACACAAAAAAAGTTTTTACTATTATGGTTAACCTGCAGCACGGACTGAAACAGTTTGCAAACTATATACTATTTTAGCCAGTCTCTGATCTTGGTTTTTATGTTCTCTTCTTTGTAGCACAGCTGGCAATACAGAATTTTGGTTTCCAGTTGGGTTTTCCTAAATAACTATATTTTATTTCATCAGACATGTCCCTGTACCTCTTGAGCTTTTATTTGAAGCTTAAAAGCTAAAGTCAGAATTCTATACAAAAAAAAGGAGAACCATTGAGTCACTCCTTAAATCTGTCCTATGACTAAATTTTTAAAAAACCCAAAAAACACTTGAATTATTTGCCTTGCTATTAGAAGCAGTAATTATTCAAACAAAGGTGCAGAGAGAAAAATTCAACCAGCTTGCAATTTTATCTACAGTGAGTTATACAAGCATAAACTCAAACTACTTTCTTACTCAAAAAACCCCTGTAGAAAACAGCATTAAATAAGTCAAGAATTACTCCTCACACACTTGCTCTTTTTGGAAATGAAAATAACTGAGTGAAGTAGCAAACTATACTACTTGATATTGTCTCTGCTCAGATCAGTTTTGCCTGAAAGGGATTTCTTTAGTGATGATTACTGTGGCACAGATGTCCTTCAAGAAGACTCAGCTGGGGAAGCCCTCACTTTCACTTCTTGATACTCGCTCATATCTTAATACAAGGAAACAGGCATCAAGAAAAGTAATGGAATCAAAAATTCTTTTCCAGCCCAAACAAGTCTTTGAGGGAACATATAACCCAGATCTTTAAAGATTCTCAACTCATATTAAACTGCTTGGTAAAGAGCAAACAGGTCTGCCTCTCCTGATACAGAAAATAGGGAGTATCACATGAAGTTCTCAGGTAACAGGCTCAAAACAGAACAGAGGAATGACTTATTGACACCCCACATGAAGTGCAGCTCTTACTGACAGAAAACACAGTAGCTGCAAAAACCATACATGGGTTTTTATAAGTTAAGTATATCTATGAAACAAAAATCCATACAACACATCATCCCCACTGAGACTGGGAGAGCTGACCTGAGGAGTAACCCTATATTCCAGAAAAGAGTGGAACAGTGAAGCACCTGCTGAGCTGTGGCAGAGGAGCAGACCTCAGAACAATGATCCTGACACATTCCAGGCTCTCAGAGCTTTAGGCTTCAGGAGAGAATAACAGATCAGACCAGTGTGGCTGCTCCTGTGAAGAATGGTCTTTATGCTGCCCAAAAAAAACCCTCCAACAAAAACCAATCCATCAGCAAACACCATAATCAGAAAGAAACTAAGACTACTGCTCCAGCCCACCACTGCTCTAAAACAGAGGTGAAACAGTGACTGTGATACTGTCCATAAAATATTTAGCTCTCTAATGATGCCTGAGAAGATAATTTCCTTGCTCACCATTCACTGAATGCTTTTTTCAAAAGCATTCAAACAAACCAAGGTGAGCTAAAGAAAGATCTTTTCCATCCTTATTGTAATTAAGGCAGCATTAACCATTTTATTCAAACGACAAGAGGCTTCCAATGACATAACTGACTACTAATACAACACCACAGGAAGTAACATGCAATTTCAGGGGGAAAAAGAATGCACTATTTAACTAGTTCAAACATGTATTCTGATATTAAAGGGGAAAAAACCAAAACAACAACCCCACATCCCTTTCTTGTCACCTCAAAACTGAAAACAAGTCACTGTCAGCCACACAGCTCTGTACTCCAGAAAACAGGTATGAAGAGCACAGCACCAAACACTGCCCAGTGCTAAAGAAAATACTGGATGCACAGGCAGAGAAGAGTGGTTCCTACAATGGATCTCACAAGCTGTTAATCCAGAATGCACAGCAACACAAATTGCTGGAAACACGGACTTTTGAAAGCTATCCAAGAAACCCTGCAGCCTTCCTCTAGCTTAACAACACAAGCAGGAATCCCAGCAAATCATAACTAGTGTGGCTGCATACAAGCTAAAATAACTGCATCCTAGAACACCAAATCTTTGCAGTAATTATCACCACAGCTAATTAATAATGATAAAAAAATACCACACAAAAAACCCCCACCAACTGCATAAATCACAAAATGTACTGATTATTTGTACATGGAGTTTCAATGACCTTTCCTTCCTGGAGGACATTCAGTTGTTTGTTGAGGTTCTTTTACACAATACAAAAATTTCTTTTATGTTATTTCCTTCTGCATATTATTGATTTCCCCAGACTGACACTGTAATTATGGTGAAGCTTCCTTCTCAAAACACACTGTAGCAACACCTCTAGGCCCCTTGAAATTATGCAGACTCACTTACTTGGGGATACAGCATCAAAGAGCTTACTATATTCCCAAAATATCCCATCCCTCATATTTGCAGCCTTATTTTTAAAAGGGTATAGTCCATACTGAAGAAAAGGAAATACAGGAAGCAAAACATGGTAGAGCAGATCAACTGATTGCACAAAGCTTTTCTTACCATGAGTTATGTACTTGGAGGTGAGGGGGAAGGCAAAAACAGCTACTGAAAACCTTGCTAAACCTTTAAACCTGCTAACAATTCTGTTCATGCACAACAGATCACACAAAGCCAACGCTCTGGGACCAGAACTGAATGTCCCTGGTAACAGACTCAGCAATACCAGCACAGTTTTGTGCATAACACTCAAGTCAGGCTTCCAAGCACCAAGAAAACAAAACAAAACAAACTCAAACCCCCCAAACAAACAATAAGGGAGAAAAAGCACCAAACATAAATAAAACTGGGATTTCTCTCAAAGAATAAAACCAAGGTATCTGGTATCTGGCAAGTCTATGGGTCACTGAAAAAAAAATTCTGAGAAAAATATACACATTCCTCAGCACCACTGGACTTTGGACACATACACATTAACTTTCAGCCACAGTAAGAAACAAGAAATATTTTGCAAGTCTGTGACAGAACTGCATTCTCTGCAAGACAGGGATTTGAGCACATCACAAATAAAGAGCCAACAATTCCAACCCCCATACATTACAGAAAAACAAATGTGTGTCTTCTCATCCCGAGAGAAGACTGCTCTGAATCTTCCAGACTTTATCTCACAGTGAAAAACATCCAATGCTGAAAGCAGACTGAGGCAGTCTGGATTAAACAGATGGCACTCTGTTTAGAAGAGTTTCACTGTTAACAACATGATAATGGCATTCCTCCTGGAAATCTTCTCATGCACTTCCAATAACCCTATTAAAAAACCCTAAAACCCCAGAAGTCAATTTCCATCAAAGTATATTGGAAAAAGGCACTACAGTCTACTCCAAAATTCTGCTGGCATCACGCTGTAATGGTAATTAATAAGAGTATCAAAAATTAATAGAACAGTTTGTATTCTGCTGAAAAGAAACAATATTGTATTACATACAACTGAGAAATAATCTAAGTCTTTATAAGTCACTGACTGTGCAGTTAACGTTTACCAGCCTCTTTCCAGATGAAGCATACTAAGTGCTCAAGTTTGACAAACACAAAAATAATTGCAATTAACCGGATGCCAAGGCAATTGACACTTCACAGCCACACATGCTCCTGCCACAAGCGCTCAGTGAAACCAAGCCCCCACCTCACTCGGGAGGCAGCTGACAAAAGAATTCTTGCCTTTCACTCACCTTTCAGTGCACGACCAGGATTTCGGGACGCCTCCCCGCCTCTCCTATGGAAACAAACACCAACGTTCATGTAAGACAGAGCCACAGCAAACCGAAACCGGGCAGCTGGGCTCGCTGCGAGCTCCGATCGCTGCCCCGCTCCTTCCCCCGCTCCTGCCAGCGAGCGGCACTGCCCGGGCCCCGCCGCCGCTCCCCGCGGGCAGGGCGGAGGGCCGGCCTTACATAACCGCGGGGAGGGGGCGGCTGTCCGGGCGGAGGGAGCGGGAGAGGAGCGGAGCACCCGGGGCAGGAGAGGGAGCGCGAGCGGCGCCGCCGCCGCTGGGAACGGCTCGCGCCCCCGCACGCAACAGAGCCTGCGGCGCTCCCGTCCCTGCCCGCACGGCCGGCAGCGGCAGGCGGCGCCGGGCAGCCGCTTAGGGCGGGCGATCCCGCCCTCACCCGCTCGCCGCCGCCGCCACCTCCGGACGCCGCCGGCCCCGCACCTCAGCAACGCGCCCGCCCATTGGGCCACGCCCCCCGCAAGAAGCCGCGCACTGATTGGTCGCTTTCCGCTCCGCTTCTCCTTCCCCCCGGCCCCTCGGCCCGAGCCGGCGGCGCCGCTCCTGCGCGGGGCCGGTCCCGCCGAGCCGGTCCCGCCGAGCCGTGCCGGGAGCGCTGCGGGGGCAGCGCCCGGGAGGGGGCTCGGGCAGGGCTCCGCGGCCCCCGTGTCCGCAGCGGGCCAGCGGGGAGAGCCGGAACGGAAGCTTCCCGGAACCTGCGTGGCCGGCTCGCGCTTCCTGCAGCGGCCGGTGCTGGTTTGGGTTCCGGTTCCGGGTGGCGGCCGCGTCCTGAGCAGGGTCGCGGAGCGGGCAGGTACCGCGGGGGGCTGGCACCGGCACCGGCACCGCGGGCAGGGCAGGCGGGAGCGGGGTGGGGTGGCTGTCACTCGGGTCGTGCCCTCCCTCTGGGCACGGCCGTGCTGGGGAGAGCGCCCGGCCGGGCTGCAGCACAGCGTGTGCGGGACACGGCATAACCTTTGCTCTTGGGAATGTCGGTAACAGAGAGGCCTCGGGTTTCCAGCACAGGGCTGGAGCCTGGCGTCTGATTTAGGGGGAGCTTTTCGGGTAATGACAATGTCAATGCAGCTCTCCAGGTTTTCTTAGGCAACGAAATCTGTCTGCTTGCCTTCACGGCTTGGAGTCATCTTCAGTTTGAAGTTGTGTCCTGCATGCCAGTCAATTTTCTAAAAGTTAAGGGCAGCGAATCTGTTCTTTGCTACCTGATATGTGTTAAAATGGGAAACCTTGGCTCAAAGAAGACTCAGGTGCTTTGTGAAAATGAAGCCTTAAAAGCTATCATTTTCTTCCAGTCCTTCATGATCTCGCTGAAAATGTTCCACTTCACATCTGTTTTTAAAGAGAAACTTAACGTTTTTATAGTTCTCCAAGGTGTATGTAAATAGAGCATACATTATTCAGCCTCATCAAGCAATGGGTAAGGTGCATCTCCTTGTCCATGCATCTCTCCTGGCCCTGTTGAATGCCACAGTTCCATCTGACTGATCCATCAGGAGCCAAGTCTTTGCTTTTCTTCAGAGCTCAGCAATCACAGCTTTCCCACACCTAAGTCAGAACTTTTTACTCTGAACTCTCTGTGCTTATTCTGGAAGTCTGGAAGTAGTGGGGGGCTGGTGTTGCTGAAGTGCATTTCCAGACATGGAAACCATTGGTTTTCTTACACTCTGGCACAGAGGGTTGGCGTGGGTGCTCCATGAATGTAATGATGGTTGTGGCTTACAGCACATAGTGTTTCAGTTTGCTTTATTGTGTGTATCACCAAGCTCTGAAACACAGCACAAAGTCCCTTGGCTCTTTGCTTTACAGAACAAAGCTCTTTGTTCTCTGCTTCTCCTTCTTGTTGCCTCCCTGCTTTTCCTGTACAGGGATTGTTCTTTGCACGTGTATAAAAATGAGATGATGCTCTCTGCCAAGTAACAAAGTGACCTTTTCCCTTAGGCATGGGACACGGAGGTGACCACGGCCATGGCCATGGCCATGACAAAGTGGAGCTCCCTGACTACAGGCAGTGGAAGGTGGAGGGGACTCCCCTGGAGGAGGTGCAGAGGAGGCTGGCCAAGCGCGGCCTCAGGGACCCGTGGGCTCGGTAAGTGCTCAATCATCAGGTGCCATCTGGTGCCATCCACCACACCTTGGCATTGTAGGTAACTCTTTCTTCAGTAAAAGTGTGAAATTATCAGAATTTCAGCAAAGTCTTTATTCACTTCTTGCATGAAAGTCACCCCTTGCATCACCTTGACCAGTGTCCACATCTGGGGAGGCAGGCTTGCACTTTGTGACGTTTCATGGTGACACAGATCAGGCACAGTGACCAACACCTCATTTACCAAAACACCTAAGTAGTATTAGGTCTGCACATGTGAATAATCCTGTCCTTCTGTGCAAAGAGATTGTGTGTTCAGGTCTTGAGGAAGATGATGGAACTTGCACTGACATTCCTCACGTACAGCTGGAGGCTTTATTTGGAAAGAAGAAATGTACATGCATGCAGGGTGGAATTGCATTCAACTGTGAATGACATCATGGAGAATCAGCTTTTTACTTCTCATGCCATCACTCTACAAGGAGTATCTCCTCCTTTTTAGATATTTAGGCAGCTGTTAAAACAGGACTTAATGTATCTCACCCACACCATGAATTATGCAGTACTTTGTTCAACCACCCTTTCATCTTGGGGAATAAAAATAGCAAATGTCTTGTGCTGTGTAGTCTGGCCCTTCTGTAAGGGAAAAGTTGTGGAGCAAAGGGTTCCAGGAGCCTTAATAGAAAAGGCTTCACTTTGAATCACTACAACAAAAATGGAGAAGCAAATAGATAATCTGTTACAAAGTTGTTTTTATGCTATAACCTGTGGAGGGGTTTGAGGTTGACAGCATTTTATTTTTTTTTTCTTAGGAATAGGTTAAAGATGTAAGCATAAAGTAAAACATACTTTTAGTGATGGTAGGAATAATTTGAAATACCAGCCCCCAAAGAACTTTCCAGACGTGTTCACTTTTATCTCTGTTTCTGTGGAGTGCAAGCAGCATAAGCTTGTTTTCCCTTTGGTTAAACAAAATTGTTTTCAACAAGAAAAAGGTATTCCAATTAAAAAAAAAAAGATACAGTTTAATATTGTAGATTTAGTATAAATTACCCTGGCCTTTAATGCCTACACTTCCAATTTCAGGAAGTGCTGCAAAACAACACACTGGAAAAGGGACTTTGCTTGTTGCAAATATTTGTTGCCCCTCCAAGATAAAAGAAAATTTTTGTTCCTCTGGTAAAAGAGGATTAAGCCAATCATATCAGGTTCAAACAAGGAACAAAGTCAAACCCAAAGCTTGAGATGATTCCTTCTGAATTTTTAAAATTTCATGTAAAGTAGTATGTCAATTCTATAGGACAGTACGAGCATCATGCCAATTTTTCCTAACAAATGAGAAATTAAAGTATCATGCTACTTGCTTCAGTAGTCTGGCAGAAGATTGTATTATTAATGTCTTGCACCACAAGTCTTCAAAGTCACCCTCTCCAGAGCTCCCTCCCCTTTGGTATGCCGAGTTCATTGTAACAGGGAATCTGCTTTCAACCTTCATGGCAAATGCACATTAATGTGCATAATAAATACAGATAAGCTTTGTGAAGGATGTCATATTTGGAAACTTTCAGTCTATCAATTAGTCCCTGTACTGGCACCTACAAGATACTCTTCCATGCCAACATGCATTCATCTGAAGTCACAAAATCCATCTGCACAAGAGGATTATCTGTGAACATAAATATCTGCCCCACCCCTTGTTTTAAACCCAGGTATTTTCTCCCAAAATGACAGTTTTTATTTTACTGCTTAGTTATTTTTCCTTTTCTTAAGGACTTTTGAGTCCTTACAAGAGACAAACTACACCCATGTCCATAGGTTACACTGGTTGTGCTATAAATAAATAAATATTTGTAGTCAGTTAGAGCAATGACTAATGTTTCAATAACAATGGAGGTCAAAAACAACAAGGCAAACAGTTTGAAGTTTGCACATACTCTGTAGCTCAAGCTAAACACCATCTTTCAGTCTTTGTTTTTAAAATCATCTGACTCTCATATAGCTGTGTTGTATTGTGAAACAGAAACTCACACTGACATGAGCTATGTCTGGTTGTAAGATTTGGCTGTGCTGTGTCCTGTCCAGCACAGTGAGTAGCCTTTGTAGTTAGTCCAATCCATGCAAATGCTAGTGGGCTCCTATTTGTTACAGAGTAAAAACAGAAGAATATAATTACATTATTTCAGGGAGGTGATTCTGTTCCTATAATTTTGTTGTTTGCTGGCAGTACTTGTATCTCAAGTTATATGGTAAGGGTTAGAGTTCCTATCATGAACTTTACTTGTAATTCCTAATACTTAAATGAAAGAACATATTGTACAGCCTCAATGTCTACTGCAATACCTTCATCATTTTATATATATATATATATATATTCTTGTTAATTTGTATCACAGTGGCTCCACTGATCTTTTTTTCCTTTGGTTTAATTTTTCTTTCTAGTAATGAAGTCTGGAGGTACCAGGGTGGCTTTGCAAGACCTATCACCGTAACAGAAATCTTTACCAGGGGACTCAAGTGGGGAGCTGCTGCTTTCATCATAGCTCTGGGCATTGAATATGCACTGTTTCCTCCAAAGAAAAATGGAGGCCACCACTGAAGATCAAATATGACAACTTAATACTTACTGATCATAAGCTGAAGCATACATAAGCCTGCTGCTCACTCTGTACTTATAATATCCATATTAAAGTCTACCACAGGCAAACCCGTGTTTCTTTGATCTTATTATACTTTTGTGGAAGGATCAAAAAACATGGCCAGAGCAATTTAACTGGCTTCAATCTGGGGAGAAAAAACCAACCCAAGGTGGTTCTTGGGTTTGCTGTATTGTCTTTTAAAGAGCAAGACAAACTATCAGACCAGCTCTTTCCAAGGCCTGCCTAGATTCTGTTAAATGAAATTGAGATGTTTGTTGCTTTTAAGAGAAAATTTGTATCATATTTATTACAGGTTTAATGACTATTATCTCCCAGTAAGTAGCAATGAATGACTTGTCATTTCTTAGAAGTGTTTGTTACTATTCACTGTTATGTCTCTAAATAAAAATAAATATTAACTTAAAGCTTTAAAACCAACTCCAGACTGCCTCAAAGTATATGAAGTACCAAAGCTTATACTTAACCCCATTGAACAGTTAATTAGCCTGGCAGAGACTATGCATCAGAAAAATCTGCTGTGTAATATCCAGACATCAAAAATTACATTGCTGCCAAAAGTGGAATAAAATGTTTAACTCAGCAGTAACTGTACCTTACCCTAAAATGTCTTCCACCATACTTGACTGTAATGTTAAAAAAAGAGAACAATTTTTTCCTTTGCTCTGGTGTATTTATAGATTAATTTATTTTTACATCTAGTCTCCTTTAGCAATTCATTTTAAATGTCCTGGTTTTCCTTAAATTATCTTAACAGCTTCTGGACTGCTTTAAGAATGCCTGGACTGAAGACTGAAGCAGAAAAGGACCTGTGGGCAGTATATGTCCTCTGCAGTACCAGGAATTATAATTGTCTGAATATGCTACTGTACATGTTGTTATGTTATGCCACTAGTAACAAAGAAAGGAGGCTATGTTACATTGCACAAACAACAGGACACCCATCACTAAAATGAAAAGCAAAATTTGACAAGTGAGAAATGGTAAATGCCACTAAACAATTATATTGTATACTTGCACGGTGAAGAAATTGAAGTTTTTATAAACAATCCTGTCACAAATTGCAAGTTTACAAAAAAATTGAAAGTCCTACCAAAACATGGCTAAAATATCTTTTCTTTAAACACACATTCACACGCAATCCTTCTGAGTGAGATTATAATAGAGCTTTATTTTTAGAGCCAATAAACAACATCTGTTACTGTGTGAGTGCAGATGTACTGTTCAGTGGAGTTTGTCATCTTTGTATGACATTGCTCAAGGCACTGTTCATAGTGCAAACACTCATTTTAGTAAACTTGCCTAATCCTTTTCTCAAACATTCCTATCCAGTTGCATCATTCCCTGAAAAACCAAGAACCTACTGTGTAAGGTTTGTGGCACAAAACATTTCTATTGTCCCTTAGGTACTCTTACCCAGAATATGCATTTTTCAATGGCTGGTACTCACTACTTGTTTTCTGTCTGGTTCCAAGACAACTTCCTAGGGAGTACTGAATTTCAGATGGCTGTTCAGGAAAACAAGTAATACAGTTAATTAGTACAATGTTAATTTTTACTGTTACTAAGTAAATAATTGCATGAAGTAGAATGAGTCTTTTTAAAAGGTATTAGCCTGCCACTTCACTGACACAGCAAATATATCAAGCATGTTCAGTTAGACAAGACATTTTTTGGTAAAATTTATGCATTTGTGAATTAACGTGGTATCATTTGTTGATTTAATAGCCAGATGGCAGCCACTGCCCTAAATGTCTTTAATTTATGATGAACATATTTTGCTAATTTTGCAGAATATGTCTCATCATTATTACACATACAATACTCATAAAGATTTTCTTTCACAGGTATAATAATACCAGTTCTGCCTGGGGAAGGAATATTTCTTGTGTATTAAAATAATAGCACCAAATGTGCCTTCACTGTAACCATAGCAATGTCTGTCCTTACATGAGAACAGCCTTTCTACCAGCACAGATATTTTACAGTGCAGAAACCAGGGTCACAAACAGCAGTGGCACCAGCAGGTGAGCAACATACATGATTGCAATACCAGACAGGAAGCTCTTTTTGTATCATCATGTCTGAAAAATAAAACTGATGATGCTCCACTTTCTGTGTGGAACAGATCCAAGGAGAAACTGTGCATATTGATTCACAGTAGGTAGATGGTTTCCTTCTCAATCTTAATAGCGGGGATACTGTGATAGCTGTGAATGATTGATCTTACAGTGGGAGCCTGACCATACAATTTCAGTAAGAATACAAATATTTTTTTCAGAACACAGAGTTGCCACTTGGTACAAATTCTAGTGTGGGCGAATATTTTCTGTCTCCTTTTTCCCTGCAGTTCCAAAGACAGCGTGACTCTTTGTGTGTGCTGTCCCACAGTACTGCGCTTCCACTGCTCTATTTTTAGCAGCACCACAAAAATGACTCACTGTTTCCTAAAGGCTTTGAAATCCATTGAGCTGGGGGTTACATGTGTCTGATTTCACCATATATCGAGGTGGCTTTTGTCTAGTTCAGAAAAATTTTAGATTTTAGGCCTTTTGGAGAGCAGCTGCATCTGCAATGCTAGCACCCCGCAGTAAATAGCTCCATCAAAGTTGCTAGGTTATGTCAAGGGAATAGCAACACCCAGTTCTCAGTAACAAGGTATTACGCAATATTTACTTTAGATTATACAGCGGGAAGCACAGAACTTTCACACAGGTGTACATTATCCTCACTGTGAACAAACAAATTCAGAGTGAGACATGAGCCATACCAGGGGTTACGGCTAAACTTCTGCCAAAAATGTGCCCACACTGCCCGCAGGTCCGTAAGCGCTCACCGAAAGCCCTGCTACTGCTTCACAGCTCGCAGGGCCAACACAGAGCCGTTCTGTCTGTCCCACGCCAGCAGCAGGACAGAAACACGGCCCGTGTTTCAGGTTTTACACGCTGAACTCGGCACGGCGCTGCCCCGCGTGCCCTCCATGCCAGGAGGAGGCGCCGGGAGGTGCTGCAGGCCCCGTCCCGCCTCCATCCGCTGTGGGGCGGCTTTGTGTGCTCAGCCCGAGTCACGACTGCGGGGTACAGCCGGAAACAAAACTAAAACCATCATCCTGCCTCCCCCGTCCCCCCCCGGCCCGGCCCGGCGCTGGGCAGCCAGCGGGCCGGTACCGCCCCAGCTCCTCCCTGCTGCAAATGCCGGACCTGGCTGCCGTAGAGACCTCCCCGACGTGTCTGGGTGCGTTCTGCCTTCCCCCGCTCCTCTCCCCGCTCCTTTCCCTCACGCCGCCCTTCCCACCGTGCGCTTTCAGCACAGGCGGCCCAAAGGCGGCCCGAGCGGGGTGGTGAGAACCGAAACCGAGTGTGATTTAAAATGACGCACTTAGAAAAATGACTGGAAATCTACAGAAACCACTTGTAGTAGCTGGGCACTTTGTGTTTGGTTTTGGGTTTTTGGGGGGTTTTTTTTGTGATTTGTTTTGTTTTCTTTTAATTAGGAGGACTAGGGTGTTAAATTAGCCTGCTCAAAGTAGTTTACATCGCGGGAAAACTATTCAAGCGTAGGAAGGATCGCGGTGATTCCCGCAGAAATTCCCTGTTTTTCCTGAGTACGTTGCACACGTCCTGTTGAAGGGCGTGGGACAGTGAGGAAGTAGGGAAATTTGAAAGCTGCGGAGCATTCTCTGCAATTTTGAAAAATGCCAGGGGCCCTGGCGCCAAGGGCAGTGGTTCCAGCACCGCCACCTCTAAAAACAGCCAAGAGCGGAGGAAGCACAAAGCACAGCCAGGTCATCTCCTGCTCTCCCCTTCCAGCACGGCTCTTCCACGTGAGTTCGTCTCGTGAAAGAAAGATAATTTCCTAAATCAGAACGACACCCACTGGTGTCATATCCTCGTTTTGTTGCTGCAAAGATGACTGTGAAAGGTTCAAGATAAAAAATGCCAGCAAGGAGTTAACTGGAACCTTGTGCGCCTTAGTGTGAAATTGTAGTATGTTATTTCCTGCTCCTTTGCAAACATATTGAAAAAAAGAAAAAAGCCTAATTACACATGCACATGAATACAAAAATTATTGAGGCAGCTTTATCTCTGATGACTATAAACTTTTTTTATTTTTGTCTTAGAAGATAAGCTGATTTTTCTCTCCTCTTTGTAGAGAATTTACATTCACTAAGTCATCTTGTTGCAGAGTCCAGATAATCAAAAGCTAGGCTGCTGGGTTTCTGTTGTGATTGCTTTTTTTTTTCTTTAACTTTTGCAGCTATAATAACTATCTGTGATGTTTGAAAAAGGGGTCATCAGATAGAAGAGTGGAGCATTATGCCCTTTATCTCTTGTGGTGAAGTGGATTTGCAAAGTTACAAACTGTTTTAGTTTATACTAAAAAAATCACTTCCTGTTGCTCTTATTCCCCTCACCCAATGTATGCTATGTGCACAGCTGGTTTTCCTTTTATTTAGAGCACTGTTCCTGCTTCACTGCAGTCATCCTGAAGAACAACCCTTGGTTGTTTTATTTGGTTTTCCCACCCCCATAAAATTAGGAAGTAGCCCCCCACAGTAATTTGTGATCTTGACATTTGTCCAGCAGAGAATGAGCTAATGTAGTCACTGGAAAATCCTGGATGGAAACCAATGTGTGCTGGATCAGTGATTTGGCAATGGCCAAATGCCAGTTTTCCTGTGTTGTTGCGAACAGTTTTACACACAGGTAAGACCATTTCAAGACTGAGTAGAATCACCGTTTTTTTATAATGAGCATGTAATGTACCATATATAAAGGAAATTCACAATAGAAGAGGATTCATATGTGTGTTTTAAAGGCAAATTATTTTTAAGTTAATGTATAAATAGTAATTCTGCTTGTCTGACATTCCAGCTCGGTGGGAAATTCCTCCCTAGCACACACCCTTCCTCTGTTTTTTTTTAACTCGTTTTAAAAGATTAGATAAAAATCAACTTGAGTATTTAAAAAGTGTTTCTGGTATTTCCAAAAATGACGAAAAGTTGTTAAATGCCTGTTTCACTTCAGAGTTAAACTATTACTTCAGGTTC